TTTAGGGACGTGCTGAAGTTCCAGATGTGTGCCCACTCTGACTAGAAACCTAGGTTACTCTCAACTACTTTTGAGCTTCACTGTATGTACACCCAAGCATGAAGGAGGGCAACTTTGTGTCTCACAATATGTATGCAATGTGGGTTCATGAGGCCCTGCCAGTTTGGAGCTATCAACTCTTTTTCCTTCCATTGTATTAATATATTCCAGGGCGAACATTCCCGACTGAAATCTCAAATGCGCTCAATCTGAAACAGCCCCTGTACCTGCACACTGGGGCTCTGGGTGCCCATCGAACGGAAAGGGGAATGACTAAGCAAGCAACGACTTTCAGGTTGTGCACATATTAAGCAAATAGACTCTGCATTGACAATGGACTTCTGTCCCTGAGACGTCTCACTATAAACAAATATGTAGGAAAGTATCCCAAGATCAAAATCTGAAGGGATCGAACCCCACATCTCTCTGGTAGGTAGTAATTCAAATAAGGGGTGCCCTATATGGTGTTCCCATTTCTGTTCTGCCAGGGTCTCTTGCGTGTCACATTTCCTGTTTTTGTTTGTTTGTTGTCTTTGTTTTTTTTACCTGTCACAGAAGAATGAGAGGTGTTAGTTCTGAGGACTCTAGTGTCTGCCTTTTGCACACACATTTCTATTGTGTAAACACCCGAGTAGCATTTCTCGGACATGGGATATTCACAGACTCAGTTTTAGTTGGTTCTCAACAGTTTTCTACACTGCTGGCTGGCACTCTATCCACTCTGACAAGGTTTGAGCTTGCAGCTTCTCAACAGCCAGTCAATGCTATGCATTTTAAAGTTTAAGCCTTTTAGGCTGGGGTACCTTATCTGGACTGACTAGAGAATAGAGGTATTTTTAAAGTCTTATTTGCATTTTGAATATACTTGTCAAGGTGCTTGTCTACCTTTTTTGTCTTTTATTCTCATCAATATGCTTTTATTCAATTCTTAAAAGCGCTCATTTTAACTTTATTTTTCTGATACAGTAATTAGGTATTACAGTAATATATATAGTAGTTGGATGTATAATGCAATGCTTTGATATATAGTTTGCTGAATACTTAAATCAAGTTAAATGTACATATTTCCTCAACTATCATTCTTCCTGGTTTTCTGTACTCTGGGCTGCTATTATGCATAATCTCTCCCACTCTGACCCAGCACCTTACTTCACAGTTGCTTGCTCCCCATGGGCATCTGCTTCTCTTTATCGCCCACCCGCCCCTAGCTGCCTTTTGATGTTTGTATTTGAGACAGGGCTCACTATGCCCTGACTGGCATGGAACTCACTATGTAGAACAAGCTTGCCTCAAACTTAAAGGCATGTGCCACCCACCTGGCCTGGCTTCTGCTCTGTTTTGTCTTTTAACGGACGGGTTGAGGAGGGAAGGGCAGAAGTGGAGGGGCAGCCCTCTGGGTCTTCTGGTCTTGAGGTTGTGGTAGCCCTAGTGCATCTATGACTAGACTCTGGGGTGTCTGCAGCTGAGCAATCTTCTTGTCTCTGAACAGCATGGCCCTCAACCAAGGAAAGCCTTGAAGACAGAACACTGGACTAGTTCCACTTGCTTTTCTCAAAGTTGCTAAAACATCATCTGTCTGTCTTGATGAGCCATCAAATGGGCGGGGTCTATACTCATAAAAACATCTGCTGCATTTATCACCGCTGTCGTCCTTGGTATACAGTGATGGGTCAGACCCTACCAAGCAGTCTAAGCAGATTTTAAATGCCATGGCTGTTGTTTTGGGTCCTGTACTTGGTGGTAGCAGGAGATAAGGCCTCTCCAGCAACAATTCACCTAACCATGTCTAAATGCCATGTCTTCTTACATTTTTTTAAATTAAAATGTATTTTGTGTGTATATGCCATGACAGCCCACACAAGGGGCTTGGAGGATAAGTTTCAGGAATCATTTCGCTCTCAGTTTGTGGGGCCTAGGAATCAAACTCAGGTTGCCAACTGGTGGCAAGCGCCTTTACCCTGTGAACCCTGAGCTGTCTCAGCTGTCTCCATGCTTCTAAAAAACCAAACTAAGATGGCTGCAGGTCAGAAACAAAACCACAAAAACCCGACACCTTTTTTTTTTTTTTTAATACAGTCCTTCTTCAATTTGGTAGTTCTAAAACACTTTTTTTTTACATATTAGGTGAAGACAGCATATGACTTTTCTAAATTATTTTGCTTGATTGGTTGATTTTATTGAGATGAGTTTTTTTTTTTCTGTGCAGCCTTTGCTGTCCTAGAACTCACACTGTAGATCAGCCTGGCCTCGAACTCACAGAAATTCCTGAGTTCTGGGACTAAAGGTGTCCTCCGCCACCACGGCAGGCTTATTTTGATCATTTAGAAGTGCCTGTAACCCACTGATATTTTTCTTCGCATCTTCTAATTATTGGGCTTTCTCACTTCTTTTCTTACTGATGTTTGAAGTCTTTTTCTATTAGCTAGTGACCCTGTGTCATGTTATTTTATATGATATTTTATTACTTACTTACTTAATTAATTAACATTATTACTGTTTTATCATTTTCATGATTGCCTTCTCAACAGTTTTATTTAGGTTTTAGGGTGCTTGGTAATTTATAAAAGGGATATTCATACACAGTAGGGCTTTGGTTCCTAGTTAGAACTCACCATGGACCATGGTTGGGGGGGGGCAGCCAGGGTTAAATCCACAGGACAAAGGCCATAAGCTGCTGTACTTTGAGCACCAGGAGCCTGTGATAGGTCCTTGGAGACTCGCCCAGTCTTGGCATTTCCATCCTGAGTTTGAGGACGGCTGAGGGAGTGTTAGTGAACTCTCCAAGGTCAGAAAGAAACTTGGCAAAGCAACCTAAGCAGAGGGAGGAAAGCTCGGGAAGTCAGGGTTGGGAAAGGAAGAGCCTGGGAAGACGGTCAGGGAAAGACCTCGGGAATGACATACAGAAAAGTCTTGTGGGCAGACTCAGATTCGGGACTATGGCTGCATCCTACTTCAGGACAATGTTTACCCTTCCTGAACCTTGTTATTCTCATCTGTAAAATGAAACAACAG